CCAGGCTTTATGAGAAGGAACGTGGCATCAGGATTGGAAGTAGATTCACCAATAACCTGGGTTATGCAGATGATACAAACTTGCTTGCTGAAACTGAAGTGGACCAGAAGCACTTGCTGCAGAAGGTCAAGGACTGTAGTCTTAAATGTGGATTGAATCTCTAAATTAAGATGACAAAGATTCTCATAAATGGGCCAACTGGCAGCACCATGATAGAAGGATAAGAGATTGAGATTGTTACAGCTTGCTTGGCTCCATGGTCAACACTCTTAGCACCAGCAGTCAGGAAATCAAAAGATGAATTGCATTGATAAGCCTGCTGTCAGGGGCTTGTCCAGCATACTGAGAAGCAACGCTCTCAGTCTAGAGACTAATGTACACCTGATCTAGGCCATGATCTTCACAGTTACTTGCTATGCATCAGAAAGCTGGCCAGTGACTAAGGATGACAGAAAAAGAATTGATGACTTTGAGCTGTGGAGCTGGAGAAGAGTCTTGAACATACCATGGACCACAAAGAAAACAAATAAGTCTGTCTTGGAGAGGGTGACACCAAGTTGCTTCCTGGAGGCTAGGATTCTGAAGTTGCATCTCACATACTTTGGGCACGTGGCCAGGAGGGAATAATCCTTGCAGAAGGATATCATGCTCAGAAGGGTGGAAGGGACAGCACAGGAAAGGAAGACCCCAGATGAAATGGACTAATACAGTGACTAGGACAATGGGAGTAGGTGTGTCGAAGTCAGTGAGACTGGTTCAGGACACGGCAGGCTTCACAGCTGTTGTACATAGTGTCGCTAGGAGTTGCAGGCAACTCAACAGCATATAACAACAACAACAACAACAACAACAACAACAACATACATTTGAGAATTGGACAACAAATGGAATGACAGAAGAACTCATGCTGTTGAGCTGTGACATTGGAAAAGAGTACTGAATATCTCATGGATTGCCAAAAGAACAAACAGATGAATCCTTGAAAAATGTTTGGCCAGAGTGCTTCTTAGAAGCAAGGATGGTGTAGCTTTGTCTCACACACTTCGGGCATGTTGCTAGAAGAGGGTATTCCTCAAAAAGGGACATCATACTAGGAAAGGTGGAAGAAACAGAGAAAGACTATCAATGACATGGATTGTCACAGTGACTGCAATAGGGTAAAGATGTCAGAGTTGATGAGGATGGCATAGGATAGGACACGGTTCAGATCTGTTGTTCACAGCTTCGCTATGAATCAGGCTTAACTACATTTAACAACAACAACAACGTACTTATTATTAGCCAGTTGATGTTAAGTACCGCTGAGTCGTAGGCAACTCATACCGACCCTATGAACAAAAGTTCTCAACACTTGTGTGACTTTCATTCTTTCTCCAGGTTCATAGAGTTTCTGGAGGCAACTATTACTGAAGTGGATGCCACTCCTGCTTCCAAGCTTGTTTTAATTGGGGAGCTCCACCAAACACTGTCTGCCATGGGTAACCATTAATGCATCTGACACATCATTGTCACAGTGTTAAGCTTCACAGCAACCACAAGTCACCTCTGTGTGGCAAAGTGGGCACACCAGGGCTATACGACCTAGAAGAATGTTTGACCAAAAACAATGAAAAAACAGGCCAAATGCAACAATGAATGAATGGAAATCCAAAGTCTCTGTAAACTTTCATTAAAATAAATTTAAAATAAAAAAAA